GAATTAAAAAACTACGAAAGAAGTTCAAAATTAGCGCCTAGTGCTGCTGAATTTTATAAATGAATCTTAAAATTTTAGGATTAAAATAACTAGAAAAAGCCGTAAGAATACCTAAAAGTAACCTATCCTTATTTTCTGAAACACATTGCAAAAAGAAAGTTTTTAAAAAACAATTTTTGAACCGAAAATGTTTATATAACATGAAAATTGAAATATATGAGTACAAAAGCATTTGTTAACCCCTTTGTTCAAAGCTTCAAACAGAACTTGTCAGGGAAAAGGGTGTTGAAGCCTCAGACAAAGTTGATTAATTAACTAAAACAAGTTTCGTTTTAAAAAACCCAATGAGACTTCAAACGGTATAAACGAACTAGATTTTTTTAAATACATAAACAAACTAACTGTTTCATTGAATTTGTCTCTTTTCCCGACTTGTTTCAGTTGCCTAAGCCACAAAAGTACTAAAGTGCTGAAAGCAAGTACTACTATTTAGAGACGTAAAATTGAAACTGATAATATACAAGTAGAATCCTAAGTTAGAACATGCCTAGCATGGCAAACGATTAAATTACAATTTAAATGCAAAAGAATAAATGTAAAAGAAAATATCATCATAATAAGATATAAAAAGAGAAAAAGCTCAAACAATTTTCATACTTGAAAATTAAGTTGATAGACCTATGTAAAAGGTAAATAAGGCATATATATATATATATATATATAGCACTACAGAAATTTGTTACAACAAAAATATCCCAAATCATTTCTGCCCAAACTACTGCTGAAATATTAATTAATTATAGACAAAAAATAATAAATATCGAACCAAAACAACACAGACATGAAAAAAATGAAATATAAAGCCAGTACAATCCCCGAATATCTCAATAAAAATGTAAAAAGACCTGACGTACCAACTCAGTGTATTTAAACCAGAAGAAACCCCGAAAACAATAGAAATACATAATAATACATAAAAAAGAAAAGGAAGAAGAATACAATCAAAATCTAATTCAACGATATCAAGAGGAGGTCAATCAGACCCAGCTGAAGCTGACTCAGTTGGGATTGTCAGATAATTTCAGTTATTAAGTTACGCATTTTCCAGCAGATATACACATTCGGTTTTAAGTAAGGGTTTTAGTATTTAAAACTGGTAAAGTGCACAGATTTTGGAAGATGTAAACGGGAAAAATTAGTTGTTCTCTTTCTAGAATTCAAGCTAATTAGCATTTTCCATCTGCTACTCGAATGCATTAACTACTTACACCCGCAAGCATAAAAGTAAAATCCGATATGTCTTTACACATACACCTCGCATTGTGAAATTTGTTGTTTTTACCAGTCTCATTTGTCTGAAAAGATGAGCACAAGCCCACGACATTCATCCTGGCAAGGAGCATTTGCGACTGTCTTTGGTAAGAGCCTTAAGCACCATACAGGTGACAGCCTGATTTTAGCTTAGTTCTGCTCCAAAGTTTGAGAGAGAAAGAGAAATCACCCGAGGGCCGGGTATATATATAAGCGATATTTTAACTTCGGTATTCGTCATGGCTGAGGGTGAAGACATCATGACGCAGCTAACAAAACTGAGTTTGAAATATCACAAAGCTTTATTTTCACGCATATGAAAGCATTTCCTTATAAACAATATACTTTTCGATCAGAGTCGAATACAATAATTTTTATGTACACGGGTTTTAAAAGTACGACGTAAGCATCTTAGAGAGTAAAGTATAGCAGCGCAGAAATGTTTGCATGGCAGAAGGTAGGAAAGGGAGGGACGTAATTGCTCGAGAAGCAGTATTTGCACTACGTACGTGCATAAGTACAGCTAAGCTGCGATTGGTTAATTTTAGGTTTTATTTCCCGTTTTCAAGCAGCATTAAAAGCGCATGAAAAGATCTCGAATTTAGGAGAACAGATGAACTTTGTGAAAGAACGTATATTCTAGAATAGTCAATTTTGAGATCGCCAATTATTTCTTAGCGCAGCTATCGTATTTTATTATATATTACACACATATAAATGTAAAATATAAAATATGAAAAAAATATTATTAAACTTAATTGGAACCAACTGACAATGGACGTTTAAATTTACAATTTTTATCTGAACACATCTCCGCTTCAACGATACGCTTTGCAGCACTTTTCGTCACTCTGCAGCACGTTACATCACTCTTGTTCTACAATTTCTCTGCACTGCGAAATCTTTAGCTCAATCCCTGCTCAGTATGGAAACAAAGATTTTTCTGTCTTGTAACTACGACCACAGTTAATACGCATCACTTTTCTCGCCTGCTGCTACTTGAGTAAACCAGATTTCTCCCTTCGCCTTCTTTCTCTATTGTTTAAAAGAAGGTGACTGCATATTTAAAACTTTGGGCAGCAGATTGCCCTTATTATGATGTGCTACTCAATAAGATGTTTGAATTGCGTAATCATCAAGTAATAAAGATGTATTTTAATTATCCAAGGATGTTATGGTTCTTCAAAGAATTCAAGACATCTACTATACGTCTGCATGTACTTACTATTTCGACCATGACTAAAAAGTGAAACGTACTATGATTTCGACTCTGTAAATTACCACATTAAAATAATCTGCAAAATCTACATCATCATCACACACATATTGTGTGTGAGCGTAATAGATGTAGTTGTTGTAGCTGTAATAGATTAAAGGTAGTTTATTGCACGAATGCAATGAAGAAACTTGCAGACAAACGCAGCTGTAAGATAAGATATACCGTATATACCCGCGTATAAGTCGAGATATTTTTGGACAAAAAAAAAAAAAAAAAGACTTCAAAGTGGGGGGTCGACTTATACGCGGGGCCATAAAAAAATTAAAAGAATCGGAAGTTCAAAATCAGAGTGGATTAGTTCCGGTCGACCAACATTTACAAAGGGAGGCAACATTAAAAAGCCCGATATTACATTAATTGCTCAGTGGGTTAAAAATGCTTGGAACGAAATACCCTCTGAAATGATTATAAAATCATTTTAAAAATGTTGTATTAGCAACGAACTAGACGGCACGGAAGATGCTGTTTTTGAAAGTGAAAATGACGACGAAGGCTCTAGTAGTGAATGTAACAACACAGAGTTCGAGACTGAAAATATGTATGATGACGAGCCAATGACGACGGATAGTTCTATGAAATGTTTGGCGAATCTGACCATGAATCGGACGTTGAAGGATTTTGATTTTGTTTATTTACCAAGGTATTTTTTATCGTATATCTACATTTTTTTCTCAGATGATTTTGAATAAATGTAGTACTTAAAAAGAATTTTCGAAGTTTCTCGATCGATTTCAGAAGTGGGGAGTCGACTTATACGCGGGTTTTTTACTTTCTACGAATTTTTTATGTCGAAATGGGGGGGTCGACTTATACGCGGTATCGACTTATACGCGGTATCGACTTATACGCGGGTATATACGGTAATTAATTTTTAGACACATATTCTGATTCACGCACAAAATTTAGCATTATTCGCACAACAAACTATTTCATTCCCATAATAAATTACTGCTGGACACATATTCTTATTCACACGTATCATCATGAGGGCAATATGCATCCAATCTTGATTATATTCTTTCAGATTTACATATTAAGACATAGCATGGATGATAGACAGAGGTAAGCGACAGTATTCGAGAACGAAATAAGCAAAGTAGAAGAGTGCGTAGTTATCGAGTATAAGAAGCTTAGTTTAAAAGAAAGGTTTTGGTTCATCAATAGAAATCTTGACCTGTAATCGGATAACAGTTATCGCTAAGGCAGGTTACGTAAAGATGTATGATTCTGATTAATCCTGAAAGGACGCAATTTAGATTGATATGTTAGGAAAAGCTACTACTTTAATGACAGAAAGAACCCAAACTGAAATGAAGAATAAAGATGACTATTATAAAATAAAATTAGAAGTTTGCTTTACATATTTCTAAGATAGAAAGGAAAAATACCCAAATTAAATGAAAAATAAATGGAACTATTGTCAATTAAGTTAGAAGTTTGTTTTACATATATTTATTTATTAACGTCACCTAAGGGAAAAGATGCTTTCATGAAGGACTTTCTAAGGAAACTGGAAACCGGGAAACTAAATTTGCAACCAGACTATTCTTCAGAATTCGAACGTCGATCGAACTATTAGCATTTAGCTGTCTTATCTGTTCGGTGAGTCTTGTACATTTTTTATTCATCAGATAGGAAGCTTTAGGCTAATATTATAATTTAAAATTTAAGTAGTAAAAGTATATAGGTTCACTTTTAAGTCACGAAATTTTGCATAAATGTCCTGGCAATAACCACAGTAATTTTAATTAAGTTTTTTAACGTGATCAGCTTACGTGAAACAAAAACTTGGACACTTAAGAAAGTGACAAAGGTATCTAGAATTTTACAGAATATTATGCCACAATATTATTTGTTCTTCAAAAATTTAGGGAAAATATTAAGTGATAAGAGATTAATAAAAGTTTAGAAGTAAAAGAGAATTTTAAGGAATGCACTGTGTTTTTGAATCCAAAATGTGTTTAATAATTTCAGAAATTACAAGAATGTTGTTTATGAAAACAAAACATTTGTGTATTATTCAGTTTGCTACACTAAATAATAAAATCTGCTTATGTGGTTGGAGGTTTGGGGAAGAAGTTTAATCTGATTGGTCTGCCAAAACCACGCCTTGAACATTATCATCTCAAATGCGCTTTCACATTTAAAAAGTATTTAAAACAATGTCCCTAATAATCTATACTAAGTTTTTGCGCTGATTTAATTATTGACTAGTGTATTATATTATTATTTCAGAAATACTCAGTAAATGCAAGAAGATTTGAAAACATTCGTCACCAGAGTTTTAACTAAAAACGAAAGTAATTTTTCTCAAATGGAAAGTTATGTCTGTTTTAGAAATCTTGTCCCACCCAGTTTTCAATTATAAGAAAAAGCTGAGAGAAAAGGTACGCTGAAGCCAGAAACCGGTCAGAAGGAACTGGAACGAGCGTATGACCTAGTTTTTCACTGGTTTGAAGTGCCATTGGTAGAGGAATCCTCAAAAGCAATCATATATGTTTAAACGTCTGAGTGAGTTATTTCATGCGATAAAGCGAGAAAATATGAGATTCTAATGTTAAAAGAGTTTCGCCCAAAGACAGACAGTTTTCTAAGATGTATTCGCTGCCACGGACGTGTGCGTGTTAACATATTTCGATATGACTTTACGTAAAGTTGCAGCTTCTATTCATGAAAAATAAATAGAAATCATCTACGGTTAATAGTACTGACAGAAACCGAAGGTAAAACAATGTTATCATTTTCGAAGAAAACTTTTGCCCGGTTGCCTTGAAGTATTTAATTATTTTTATTTTTACCGTGTGTCTTCTAGTAATGTGTTTGAAAACATTTTTCGATTTTATTTTGCATATTTTTAATGAAAGCCGCAGTGAAGAACATTCACCTTATGAAAAGTTTTCATAATGCTCAACTCCTGCGGTAATAGTTACAGAAATTCCACTATAATTTAAACAAGAGTAAAAGGAGCTCAAAAATTCTATAATCAGTAATGTTATTTCTTTTCAACAAATATTCAATTTTGCTGATATATATACCAGCTGTTAAAAAGTAGTTGCCATTTTAAAGGTGAAAAAAAAAAAAAAAATGGCTGAAAAACAAAAAGTAAATCTTAAAACTTTCGTCATTCCTTTTTTATTAGTATCAACTTTACTATTCAATTTGGCTGTCTTGTACCGCAGTCACTTCACAAATGCAGTCGCTTTATCTAAGTCATGTGACAATTCTTCGAATATATCTAAGCAGCCCTTTGACAGATACATACATATCGCCTTTTTCGGGAAATATGCATTTAAAAATATGAAGATAGTGCGTGGTATGGCTAGAACCTTCAGTAGTATTTTAAAAAATACACAAAGTCCTATATTTTTGCATGTTTTACTGGATCTCAACAGCAAACAAAGGACTGGAAGAACTCTCAAGAAAGTAGCAAGGACATTTCGCCGAAGACTAAACGTAAGTTATTTTAGTAATCTGTTAAAGCTTTTCAAATTTATTTGTTAAATTTCTACTAATATCTCATGACAAATTATGCACAAGTAGCAGTATTACTAAAATATAATGTCTTCCTTTTTAAGAAAGCAGTAAATTTTAATTTTCATAGCCTGCGTTTAAATAAGTAAACTGACTGCATTCAGTCAATAGCTAATAATACTACTGAATAATATAATAATAAATACTTAATTTAATAATAAAATTATTAATTTTACTAATACATTATTACCTGTAGCTAATAATGCATTGATCCCAAGCCTAAATTCAAAACCCCAGTTTGGATGGATTTAAATTGTTGTTCATAATTATATCTATCTATCTAGCTATATATATATATATATATACATAATAACAAACTAATATACTTTCGTTTGATAAATGTTACGAGTTTATCCTTTTTTGCCAGACAGAAAACTTTGTTAAATCTCTTGACTTTAAAAAAAAATAAGATGTTAAATTGCAATCTGATAATTATACATTCAGTACCTCGAGAAGTTTATCATTAAAGCTTAAAAAGTTAACAAAATATTTAAAACTTAAAAATTCCTAAATTTAAACAAAAGTGTAATTTAGTTTCAGAGTCTAATTTCAGTAACAAACTGTTAAAAAAGGTAAAATCAAATGCTAGAGAAAGAAAATTATGGTGTTATTTCATTGCAAAATAACGAAAAGAGAAATTTGTGAACATACTTGATAAAGAAAAGACAATTTTTAAAGGCGTACCTGTGCATTTGTTTTTGTAGATCTCTTGCAAATAGTTTGGTTTATCAAATTATGGTAAAGCCTGAGAGGGCTATCTGCCTAAAAAAAGGGATACATTCGTGGAGGACTTTTTAAGGAAAACTTGTTAGTATTCACCTCTTGCAAATGAAACTTTCAGCAAAGATTTCGCTTAAGTAGCAATTCACATTTTAAAAACAATAAAGATATCTTAAAGAAAGTCATCAGTAAGAAAAGCCTTTGAAGAAACTGGTCTTTGAAGAAGTGGCGAGAAAAATTCTTAAAATTTAAGTAGTGAACCAATTTGAAAGTCAATAACTCAGTTTTTTTTTTTTTTTTTTTTTTTTTTCAAAATTAAGATTTAAAAGCAAATATAAGTACAAAAAGGTTTTTCGAGCCCTACAATTTTCTCAAATCACCCATATAGTTGTATCTAAATTTGCTTAACAAGCCTTAAGTGAATATTGAAACACAGGATTTAGAAAGATATTTGTCTTCTGAAAGCCTTTGATATTACTAGATCTATATTGTGGTAGACACATATTATGCATATAAATATTATGTAGGAGATAATTAATATCTTCTCCATTATAGGACAACACGCGCCAAAGAGTTTAGTGCATAAAGATGTCTATTAGCACCATTAAAATTAATTTACGATTCTTACCTGTTATGTACTATCCTTACCTGTTACCAGTGTTCTTGTTTCCAGAATAAGCAACATCAATAAGTAATTTTTAAAGTGAAACACACTGTCTCTTTGTTTATTGAAATAAGTAAGAGATATATTTCTTATGGTTAGAAAATTTTACCATGGTCGAAATGAGCTGATGTCGAAAATATGCTATCTTGTATGATGGCTTGTATGTCTTATCTGGACAAGAAATGTTTGGGGTATGTTATTCTGTAAAGATCCGATATAATATACTACGTGGTTATAAAAAATAACGTGAGGGTTCAAAGCCCTCTAAGAGTTAAGTATTAGACGAAACATAACCAAATTTGATGAGCTTACATAGTGTACCATGGGATCTTGTCCTCGTACCAAAAGTCACCAGCAGAGAAAATGTTGGCCCTGCAGACGTGTATTAGTGTGAATAATGAATGATTAAATACCTATAAGACACAGCACACATCAATTTTATTAACAAAAAATGGTTGTTACTTAGAAATTACTTTCAATATGATCACCATTGTGATGTTCCAAGAACTGCATACGTTGCACGATATTTCGTACCAAAAGTCACCAGCAGAGAAAATGTTGGCCCTGCAGACGTGTATTAGTGTGAATAATGAATGATTAAATACCTATAAGACACAGCACACATCAATTTTATTAACAAAACATGGTTGTTACTTAGAAATTACTTTCAATATGATCACCATTGTGATGTTCCAAGAACTGCATACGTTGCACGATATTTTCTACTGCGATTCGCACTTATAAGGATTAATATGTCTCATTTGCAACGTTATTCGATCTTTCAAAGTTGCAAAATCGAGGACATGTCCTTAATACATAACACCGTTAGGAAATCTCTGCAACCAAAATTCACAAGCTTCTGCAACCTAGTTGGAGATCAGGCGACTTCGGTGACCATACCGTAGAAATACCCGACTAATGACTCTACTGTCTGAAAAATATTGCGGCAACACACTCTGTACCTTAAGTCCAATGCGGGATATAGTTCACCCTTCTGCACAAATATCCTTGTTGCTGCAGTTGTGGAGCCACGAATTTCTGTACCATATTGGCATACCTGTCAACAGTAACGGTACAGATCACTGGTCCACTTTCACGATTTTCCTCGCAAAAGCAAGGACAGATGATAAAAGATGCCGTAAAGACACACCACACTGTGATTTTTTTGGAAGTGAAAAGGCTCCTGCAGGCAATCTTGAGGATTATTAGCAGCCCAAATGCGGCAATTATGTGTGCTAACCATTTATTAACCATTTGTTGTTAATAAAATTGATGTGTGTTGTGTCTTTGGTATTTAATCATTCATTATTCACACTAATACACGTCTGCACTTAATACCACAGCTCAAATGAAAGTGGGCTTTGTTACCCCATAAAATCTGTCACGAACATGTATCATTAACTTGCATGCGTGCTGAGAATCTCAATGAAAAATTAAATCAGGTGGCAGCATCGTCAAAGAGCAATTCTTGAACAAAAGAGATTTTATACAGATAAAACTTCCACATCTAATGTAGAATCTTCCGCGCCGTTGAGTATGGGATCTGCGTGTGCCGGGATACTACCCAAACACTGCTGGTACCATGCAACATTTGCCATCTCCTGTGCGAAATAACAGTTGCAAATTTTTCAACTTATTGCTGACTAACCGCTGTGCACTCCCGATTTGGTTGCTGCTGGTTCTTGCAATTTCAAGTAGTTGCAACTTCTTTAACTGCCGGAATCCACGGAGGAACCACTGGCATTCTGTTTCCGCTGATAATACAGTTTGACTAACAAAGCACGATTGCGTAAGATAAGAGTCATCGAAAGGCAGTTAGTCTTAGAATGATGAGAATTCCTCCAGCCTTTCTTTTTGTACTCATGAGCGCTACACGGAACGCGATTACCCACATCAATGCATTTTATTAGATAAACACGTCAATTTTCTTTCTTTCTTTTTTTTTTTTTTAATTTGTTTGAGAAAATTAAGTCGAAATCCCTTGGTTCACTATGTAAGTCAATCAAATTTGGTCATGCAGTACTTTACTCGCTAGACGGCTCTGAATACCTCATGTTATTTTATAACCACCCTACATATAAAGCAAAAATTATGAGAAATAAAACAGAGAAAGATTACCAAAAAACAGACATTCTATTGATTTTGCTACAAATTAACATACGTGAAGCAAACATAAGTATCTAGCCTCGTCTAGAAAGGAGGTGAAAACATCCGGTAGGATGTATATGATGACACTGATTTTACACTAGACATGATTATGATTTTAAGAAATCTCATGATCATCTTATGATTTTAAAATACTCTTAAATGTTATATATTTTATTTAAATACGAATTTAAAATTTCGAGCATTTAAACAAATATAATTCATTAAAGCGTGCTTTATGGTACTTAAAAACCTTCGCTAATCTCATATTTATCTGAATTAATCACTTTACAGCTTTTGAAGATTAATTTAAGAGATTTAATTTTTCCGTTTTTATTGGACTTTCGATCGCTTGTACACTTGTAACTACACTTCTAAACAATCCATTGAAACAAAATAAATATAAAATTTCAGAAATTTGTTCATTTATTTGCTAAAATTTATTCGTTAAAGCATTAATTTCAATAATTTAACAAAAGAAAATATTTTCAAAGAAATATAACAATAGAAATATAACCTAAAGAATGGAATAAATTCGGGCTTTAACAATTTAATAAAACAGACTTCTTATTTCGGAGGACGTAAACAGTCATAAAATCTAATTCCTTGTAATAATAAAGTTTACTGATTCTCTGATTTACTTCCTTCGTTCATATGAATGAATTTTAATTTGAAATCGAATTCTTTCATTGTATTTTTGAAAGGTTATCAAAATTACGCCGAAATTAAAGTTCACGGGCATTTTCTATTCTTTAATTAAATCATTTTGGGTACTTTTCAGTTATGGCTTTCCACAGTAAAATTTTCAGCCTCTAAGCACCTAATATGAAACCATAGGATTGCCACAAAATCGCAATATATTAAGAGTTTTTACAAAAACAATAACGGATCTTTTCCGTACGTACGACAAACCTTTCTACAGACAGACATACGAGCCAACGATGTCTATGAGCTATGTTTAAATTTATGTTTATGTTATTGTTCGTAAGTAATTTATGTTTATGTTATTGTTCGTAAGTAATTTATGTTTATGTTATTGTTCGTAAGTAATTTATGTTTATGTTATTGTTTAAGTTTATGTTACTGTTCGTAAATTTTTTAAAGTATATCATTCTATTGTTTTCTTTATTTATTGAAATCGCTAACCTAAGGGATATATTTCTAATGTTTGGAAAACATTTTACCACGATCGGTATGTGCTAATGTTTCTGTCTGAAATAAGAAAATATTTCTCTCTGGAAGTATCAAAATTGAAAATGTGTTTTTCTAGATAAAGTTGTTCGGAACGTCTTGTCCTATAACGGGAAAGGATCTAAAATAACATTTAAATGTCTTTTCAAATATCCATCAATAATAAAATCATATTATCATATCATATCATCAATAATCAATT